GTACAAACTTAACAGTTATAAGATCCATTGTATAGTATGGTGATTACTGGTAATAATGTGATATTATATACCCGAAAGTTGCTAAGTGAGTATATCGTAAATGTTCTCACCACAAGAAAAGAAATGGTAATTATGTGATGTGATGGATGTGTTAGCTAATGCTACGGTGGTAATAATTTTGCAATATATAAGTGTACCAGATTAACATGTTATACATCTTAAACAATGTTATGTGTCAATTATATCTCAATAAAACTGGGAAAAAATTTATAATGTGTAACTACTACACACCTTTCAGAATAGCTAAAATTTAAAAGACTATCAGGACCTAGTGTTGGAGAGGAAATGGAGCAGCTGGAACTTTCATATGTTGTTTTGTGGGTGTAAACCAGTATAACTACCTCAGAAAACTAGAATTATCTACTAAAGTTGAACAGCAGTTTTCCTCCTGGATATGCATACAGATGTATGCATACAAACACCAAAAGACATGCACAAGAATGATAAAAATTGATCTCTAATCTCTAATGTCCATCAACATATGAATAAATAAATTGTGGTATATTTTCAGAAGGCAATACTACACAGCAATGAAAACGAGCAAACCAGAGTTATATGAAATCACATGGATAAATCTCAAGAATATAATGTTGAAAGAAACAAAAAAGGAACATAATATTTGATTTCATTTATAGTAAGTTCAAAATGCTCAAGATTATACCTCTGAAAATGAGAGAAGAGGTAATGATGGGGAGGAAACACAAGAGGCCTTCTGGGAATCCTGCTAACGTCCTATGTCTTGACTTTGGTGATGGTTACACAAGGTGATTCATTTTGTGATAATTTATCAAGCCATACCCTTAAGATCTGTGCACTTTTCTGCATGTAAGTCATATGTCAATAAAACAGATAAAATATTTGCCCAGATGTGAAATGGTGGTCAGGGTATGTTCCACATGCCAATAAAATATTCCAAAGGTTTGCCAACCCAATGATCTCAGTTTTACTTAAATTGTCCCAAACCTCATAAAAGAGTCTGAAAATCACTATTCCAGTGGGATACTGTCACTAAAAAATAATTACAACAGCAAAGATATATTAAGTTCTAGTTCAGACACTCTTGTCCAAAGAGAAATAGAACTTGGACTATTTTGTTTATTGACAGGAGGTACTAATTATATTGCTGTGACCTATTTGATGGTGAGAGTGGATAATGGGGTAATGGTAGAGAAGAGAAAGGAGATTTTTTAAGTCGTAAAATAAAAAATGGTTAACTTAGAGTTTTTCCTTCTTTTTTATTTTTATTTTTCTTTAGGTTTTGTTTTTAATTCTGTAATGTGTTTTGCTTTTAAGAGGAACTGGCCAGAACAAAACAACAGGAAATAATCTGATGAATTCTTATATTTAAAAAATAATTTAAAGATAATGGCAGTGGAGTAGAATGCTGACAGTAGGAGAACAGCTTTATGTAGCATTATATAAATTAAAAAATGCATACGAAACGAAGATCGTCTCACGAGCAATAAATGAACTTAAAAGTTTATGGACTCCCCCTGTATAGAATGCACTCACACACACATGCACGCACGCATGCAGGTACCATAAATTACTATACATACGACACAATTTAAGTCCTGTTCGATAGAGGCTGGGATTCTGGCCATTGAAGCGGGGGTAGGTAGAAGAGTCCAAGGACCCAAGAATGCCTTTGAACCTGGTGAAAGACTTCTCTCCCACTAGGAAGACCTAATGACCCACTCCAGTATCAGCACGATTTGTGACCGGGGACCAAATGTGACTTTGGCCTAAGGACAATAATAAAAAATTATAAAGGGAAGAGCTCAATTACACCAAAAATGAATTGTAAAAGTTATCCATGCTATACGAGGAAAAGCAAGAAAAGACTATGCACAGATTTTGCAAGTGCTTGACAAGGAAATAAAATACCAATTTGGATTGCACAGCATTTGTTGCTATGGTGAAGCCTCACCTGAGACACTGTGTTCAATATGTCACTGCAGGATGAAACTCTAGTGGTTTGTTGGGTTGGCTGATATAGCCCTGAGCCTAGCACGGGCCAATAAAAGTGACTGACAGTAAGAAGACACAAAGAGAAGTAGAGACTGAGAGAATGGCAGAAACTTAGACTATCTAAGCACTCGTGGTGCTGGGGGCTACGGGATCACATGGTCCCTTGCAGCTGCCTCAAAACCTGAATTGTGTCCTGGGTTTCCAGGAGACTCCTCTCCCTTACTACCACATATCTCCTTATTAAAAACAAAGCAAAACATTACTTAAGATGATATATGGTCACGATCTGTTCCTTGGAGCCAATGCAGAAGGAAAAGTGAAAAGTAGAGAATGAGAGGAGAAATTGTGAGACATTTAGCTATATGTTTTTTATTGATTACTCTTATGTCTGAAAACTTTCCAATTTGATTCTGAAACATGGTGTTCACATAGTTTTTTTTTTTCCTAGAATAATTCATAACCTGATGGAACTGAAGGGTAATTAGAGCTCATTGAGCACATCAAGAGAGAGATGAGAAAATGGAGCACCATGACGAGAAGAGATTTCCTTTTTATTCCATTTCCTTCAGTGATTCTCTTTTTCCTACCATTTAATGGATGGATGTTTTTGAATAATCTGCCCCTTTCTCCCTCTAGACTCATAATTTTAGCCTCCAATTATACACAGATCTGCTCTTAAATTTTTATCATCTAAGTGCTGAATTCTCCCCCCAGCTCCCATAACATTAGACTTCCAATTATCTAAGGAATGCATAAGTCTCATCAGTACCTGAAACTCAGCAATGGCTAAATGCATATCATTCTCCTTATCCCCTTCCAGCTTCTCCATCACTATGATTAGTATTGTCATTTTTAAAGGTCCCTTGTCTTAAACTTTGTTTTTAATTTTAGGATATTTCAGTCATACGAAAAATGTAAAGAATAAAATAACAAATACTCATGTCTCTATTATCCAGACTTAATATTTTGAAATATTTGCCTCAGACTTTAAAACATTTTTATGGATACAGCTGGAAGTCTCCTATCTCATTCAACTTGCTCCCTCCCAAGAGGTAGCCACTCCTTCAAAGTCAGTTCCTCCCAGAAGCACACCCTTTGACAAAGGCTGATGAACACACAAAATTGATTTGGGAGGTGCAGGGACACTGGCAAGGGAGTGGGGAGGTGGTTCGGGGAAGGGGAGGCAGCCAGTACGGCCCATTATTAAGTCAGCTACCACCGTGGGCAACTGCAGTTCACTCCTGCAGGGAAGCTCTAGGAAATAGTATAACACTCACCTCAGAATTATCTTGGCCAGTGAGTGGTGGGGTTGGAGCATTTATCCCCATACCCATTTCCAGCCTTTTGTGTGTGAGGGCAAAGTGAGTTGGTTCTGGCAGCCTGAGCTCAGCCTTTTGACAAAGATGTTGGCTGCTGGAAGTAGGTTGGTGTGCATGAAAATAAGGGGATTCAAGGGGATGTGGACAGAGAGTACTGACAGGATCTGTGACAGTGTGTATCCATCCTACTGACATTGTTTTACCTTTACTACAATTGTTAAACATTGTTAATTTTTATGATATTGTATTATTGATAACGTTAACAATATTGATGACGTGATGAAGGGGAACAGTGAATATAAATATACGCCAGTCAACATAAAAAAGGAAGGTGGTTTGGGAAAATAACTTCAGTTCAAAAAGTTAAAGTTTAACTGTTGAATTTATATCCTGTGCCTGATTGATCTCTCATTAACAGAAAGTAAGGAAAAGAAATAAAATGCATACTACAATTTATTTTTGTTTAGTTTCACACTTTATTAGACTTTGACAAAATTTGAGTTTTTCCCTTATCTTCCTCCACCTCCTACTTTAAGATTGCAACGTTATCAGTCTTAAACTATGATTGGTAGATTAGATTATAAGTCTTTGCTAAGAAGACTATATACAGTCTTGGGGGTTGGGGGAATGCATAATGGAGACAATATAATCATGGCAAAATAAGCCTGCAGTGATGTTCTAAATCATTTAGCAAAGCCAGGGATAGTTTGCCTTTTTTTTTGTAACTTACGACCAACAGGATTCCTGATATAACAAAATAAAATTACAAAACAATGTTTCCTATTTCCTTTTGCAGAGACCGAAAGGATTTAAAATAATCTTTAATAATCATCATATATTCCATTATTGGACAAATACAGACCTTCCTCTTTAAGAACTAGTAGACAGAGAAAAATCACCTTACACATGAAAAGATCCAGTAGTCCAGTAGGATCTTTCTGAAGAACCAGAAAAAGTAGTCACTTATAAAAGACTCCATAAAGCAGGAAAAAATTTTTTAAAAAAATCTCATATTGAGATTCAAGGAGACACTATCCAAATGTCTTATTTCAAATAAGGAATGATTACAGAATTTGAAACCTTCATGGAGACAGTAAACAACTGAGTAGGTTTATATCAGAGGTAAAGTATATTGGTGAAAGAACTTCTGGAAACAGCATCAATTTCACATTTGGAAGAGTGATAATGTTTTCATAAAGTAATTCTCTACTGTTTTCCTACCTGATTCCATTTCCATATAAAAACAAAGCTTATGAAAATAATAAGCAAATATATTATGTGTCACAACACTTAAGTAGTGAGTAGGATTAAGAATAGAAAAAGAATAAGTCTTATGAAAATAAATAAGAAAATATGTTATGTGTCACAACTTGAGTTAAGCAGTCAGTAGGATTAGAAATAAAGATCACATAGAATGCAGAGTCTTTACCCTTAAAAAAAAAAAATGCCTTCATTAATCTATTGGAAACTTTGGATCCTCCTTATAGAAAATTGTACATTTGTATAAAACATGAAATTGGCATGAAATTTCAGGAATCCATGGGCTTCCTAAAGGTCTAAAGTTTCTAATGATCAGACTATCAGACCACTAGTGGTCTATGAACACCAGGTTAATGATCCTTTATTCAGAGAGAAGCAGAAAATACTTACATTGTATAGAGGGATAGTCTTCATCACCTTGTACTGCTTAGTGGGATCCATTTTATACAGGTGACGATCGGTGACAAAAATTGCTCGGTCTTCCACCTTACTAAACCGATTGACCTGTAACAAAACAAACCAAGAAATTATATCTCACGAAGACTGAAATCAAATGATCTGCCAGGAAAACATCTAGGGGTAGGGGTAGCTGATTGTCAAGACGCATACTTTAATAGGTGTGTATCATATATGGCCACTCTACTGGATGCGATAGAGATCTAAAAGGTGTAGTAGTTTCCAGATTTGTGGAATTTTACAATTAATGAGGAAAATAAGAAAAATACAAAAGAATTGAAGGAATAAAACATGTAACTCTATAAAGAAAATGAAAAGATTACCCACTGAATAACAGAAAATTTTTGCAAATCATATATCTGATAGGCTTGTATCTAGAGTATATAAAGAACAGAATATATTTTATCTAGAATATACAACTTAATAATAGGCAAAAAAATCTATTACAAATGAGTAAAGAATTTGAATAGACATTTCTCCAGAGTTGATATACAAATAGCCAATAACCACATGAAAGTATGCTTAACACTATTAGCTACCAGGGAAATGTAAATCAGAACCACGATGAGATACCACTTCATATCCACTAGGATGACAATAATAAAAAAGACAGATAATAACAAACGCTGGCCAAGATGTGGAGAAATTGGAGCCCTCATCACTACTGGTGGGAATATAAAATGATACAGTCACTTTGGAAACCAGTCTGGCAGTTCCTCAACACAGAATTACCATATAACCTAGAAATTTCACTCCTAGGTATATATACCTATGGGAATTAAAAACATAATCACACAAAAACTTGTGCTTGAATGTTCATAGCTGCATTAATCATAATAGCTAAAAAGTAGAAAAAACCCAAATGTCCATCAACATGAATGGATAAATAAAATGTAAGATATTCACACAATGAAATATAATTTGGCAATAAAAAGAATGAAGAATTGGCACATGCTATCACATGGATGAACCTTGAAAAAATTGTTAAGTGAAAGAAGTCAGTCATAAAGGACCACATTCTGTATCATTCCATTTACGTGAAATGTCTAGAATAAGCAAATCTATAGAAACGGAAACTAGATTAATGGTTACACAGGATTGGGGAGATGAGAGGTTTAGGGGAATGACAGCTAAGGGATGTGGGGTTTCTTTTCAGGTTATGAAAATGTTCAAAAATTGACTGTGGCGATGGATACACAACTCTGTAAATACACTAAAAGCACCTGAATTGTATATATTTTTTAAATGGTAAGTTGTGTGGTATATGAATTATATCTCAATAAAGCTGTAAAAAAAATGTAACCCCTATTTGAAACACCTCATTTTTGGCCCTTTCCTAATTCACTGGGAAGGTGTTTCAGATTAAATCCCCTAAAGTAGAATGGCAATGTGTTATTAAATCTACATGTTCAAAAGTGGACAGTGCTTTCAATATGCCTATGGCACAAATAACTGTCTCCTAATTATTACTATCCATAAAAAGGTCAGACTATATGAGAAGGCAGTAAGTGCCTCACATAGAAAGGATTCGAGCGGAAGCTAAGTGGGTATCTGATGTGGGTGTGGTAGAGGGGATTTGTGCTTCGAATAGGAAGTCTAGGGGTCTCCAAATTCCCTCTCCACTATGAGTCCTTTACTTGACTTTCAAGTTCTCCTCTCTGCCATTATTCTACTTGTTCAGCTTTATTTCTTCAAGGGCTCTCTGCTCTTGTCTGACATGTTTTCTTATGTTATGCTCTCTGTTATATCTTTCCGATTTTCTACTCCTTCCCTTTACTTTTTATGTATATTTCAAGATATTGCTTGAAGTTAACATTCCATTATAAAAACTCTTTAATTCCTGTAGTTAAAAAATGATCCCTCTTTCCTCTGAACTTCCATTCCACCGTTGTATAATAAATATATAGAATATATGCAGAATGAAGAATGAAACAAAAATTAACACTGGAACCAAAGAGCACTAGGTTTTCTTTTAAAGCAGCATATCTGAGAACATGAAGAGCATTGGCTTAAGTGCTTTTGCTAATGTAAAACACTGGCTACATCTTTACTTTTTGTCTGGAAAAAAAGATGGGAAAGAAGATTGGCTGATGCTTATAAATACCAAGACGATCAAGTTAAATCTATCTTTAGCCTGTATCTTCTCATTTGAAGTTGAGCTACTCTCTGCATCTCTCTACTAAAAGGGCAAATTTTCCATTGATTATTGGAAAACTTTAATAATTTCAAGGACAGCTGACTTGTAAATTTTAGACAATTGTTGTTTGTTATTAAGAAATATACTTGTTCAAATAGTTGTGTAGAACACTGTGTTTTTAAACTTACAGTTGAAGCTATGTTTGGCAAAAAAGGTTGGTTTTACTAACTAATCTTGTGACAATCTAATGACTATAACCTCACTAATCTAGGTCTAATTAACTCAGACAATATAAAAGGTTATACAGATTGTCTTGAAATTGGAAGCATATAAAAAGTTGTTTTCTTTGTAAAATAACTTCAAATAAGTAATCAAAATAGTTATAAATAAGATTAAGAAATTCACTTCAAAACAAAGTAAAAATCTTACATACAACTATATGACTACTTTTCTTTTTTGATTAGCAAAACTAATCTATGGCAAAAGAAATCAGAACAGTTGTTGTCTTTGGTGGTGGTGAGACTTGGCTGGGAAGGGGCATGAGGGCGCCTTTTAGGGTGATAGAAATGTTCAATATCATGATAGGATTGTAATTTACATGGTGTATGTGCTAGTCAAAACTCAGTGAACTATATACTTCAGATTTGTGTATTTGCCTGCATATAAATTATACCTCAATACAAATGCATAGGCAAAACAAAAACAATGTATAACCTCAAATATCCATGAGAGATTTTTATTTATTGCCTTATTATTTCATGAACAGTAATTCTGTCTTCCAGCCAGACTGGAAGCTTCTTGAGGATCGTGATCATATGGTACCTTTTGTCTAGTACCTCGCATCCCCAATTACAGATGTGGGCAACCTACAGCATTTACTACATCCTTGCTGACCAGCTGGTTTTGAGAAGACTTTTAATCCTACAGGATAATTTCAAGAACTCCTTTTCTCAATCAGTGTTGATGATAGAACTGTCAGACTGGAAAACAGATGGAAGTGGCTGCAGCATGCTGGGGAGATTGCATAACATAAGAAAAAGAAATCCCCAACTGGCAAATAGAAGCATAGTTGCTCAATAGCTTAAGTCCCCATTGCCAAGTCTGGTCCTGGAAAAACTTTATTTCTGCACTGAAGAAAAAGGAACTGTGGACTTCTTGCTTTTTTATTTTTGTGGCTGTAAGGCCCTTTATAAGTAAGCTATCTCTTTAATAAAAGGCTCTCTAACATAGCATGCACTATGTAAGCACATGGATTGCTGACGTGGAATTATTTATTCGCGTGGTTGGAATTGTTGAGATTTATTTGTACATTTTTTTTTTCCTCATAGAGTGTCTTTTCCATGAGTTAATTTAACTTTTCCCTTCACAGTCACGACCAGCTATCACTACAAGACTATATACTATGCACACAGAACGCTGACAGGCCAGATGAACCATCCTGAGAGAAACATAGCTGGAGAAACATATCTGTGCCTATATTTGCAACACTGTATTACTGGTAGTAGCTACCCTTATAAAATATTTAGACTCTCAATTTTATTGAGAAAAGTGTCTTTTTATAATCAGAAATCTAAAATGGGATTAAACTTATTTTTTTCTACATTTGTTAATCCAGCACATGACTTGAATTAATTCAAAAAAATTGTACTGGTAAACATTTACTCCAATTAAGCAATTTGATAATTCCTCCCCACCAATTTACAATGTGCATTTTTAAGCACTTTATAAGCTGATGATGATATACAGGAGAATGGCAATGAGCCCTTGGTTATAATAAGAATCTGAGACTAGTAGATAAGGTTGAGACAGATAAGAAATTTGTATATGAAAATAATTTCTTACAATGTATAAGGAAAATAAAACTAGGTAAAGTGACTGAGAGAAAATATACACGTGTGTGATTTTGTAGAATGCTACTTTATTAGAGAGTCTGAAAATGTCCACAACTGCAGGTAAATCTTTTTCTAACAGACAGAATTAACAACGGGACGTTTTATAAATAAGTAAACTACTTGCTAATTAGCATGTTTCAATTTTAGATTTGGGTAATATTTAAATAAAGATACCGAGCACTAAAAATTTCTGAACTACAACGTCATGTTTCTCAGTGACTAGAAGGAAAAGGAAAGCAAAACAAAATGACAAAAATACTAAAAACTCTCCACTAAGAACAGAAGGCACAGTTGTAATATATAAATCCCCATCCCTGCTTCCAAGATCTTACTTTCAAGATGCAAAGAAGTTAGAGATTAATCTGAGAACGCTGTTAGCTTTGGTAGGATATACAGCTAAGTAAATCTGGATGGGGCATAGCAGGATATATTGCTATAGGTAGGATACAGCAAACTAAAATTCAAGTTTTAGTTTGAATTTTAGTTAGTCTTCTCCCTTTTGCCTCATGGTTTTAGAAATCCATCAATTCTCTTAACATTTCCTTATAACCGAAGTATGTTTTCAATCTTTAATTTGACAAAAATGGTGTCTGTAATTAAGAGTAAAACAGAGTTTATGTGGTGAAATAACAACTCTTGGTAGCAATTATTCACTTCAAATGGCAACAGTTTTTTTGCCATAAAAGGGAACTGGCACTGGTCAGAAGGCTTGAAACAAGCGATTGTAGAGCTTCTACATCAGCATTTTCTAAGTTATTTTGCACAACACTAGCTTTATGTGATGCTTTGTGCAAGAAAGGTTCCAAGTCAAGTTGGTCTGAGGAACAATGCAAACCACAGCCTCCCCTGGGATAGCTGTAACCCATGAATACATTAAAAGCTCTGAGAATTCTGCATTTACAGAGTATGTTTAACTGTTCACCCCGACATGTCCCAAATACACTGAATTATGGAACTCTTTTTGAAGACACATTAATATTCACCAGAACGCTGGTTTGTGAAACCCATGCTGGAGAACACTAATCATCATTTGTATACATCTTAGAATATGGAGAACAGAGAACATCTAAGATGAAATCTGAATAATAAGCAAAGAGTGTTCCTCATCTATTGTGAATTCATATTGAGAAATATGAGTTTGTTGCAAAAGAGTATAAAAAAAACTTTCTGTATAATTTCGCAAGGTCATGAATCAAAAACAATAGGCCGAGCGGTAAAGTGGAGAGTATTGTTTTTGTTTTATGGTATGTCCAGGAGACAATCTGGAAACCAACGAACAAAAACACCAAAGAAGCAATTTTACTGAAACTCTGTTTAGGAATATTACATTCTTTTTTATGCAAAAGTGTAATTTCTAAAGAGAAGAGGTCATAAATCTTTACCTTTTGTTTTAGCAACTCAAATCAGCCTTAAAATAAGAATCAAATGAGTGGGAAGGACATCATGTAACAAAGTAAAAGCTTTAAGTTGCGTAACTTAGCTAAGTCGAAATGGAAAGAAAAACTTTTTATATACCTATGTAAATTAGTAAATTCAAACTTAATTAAAATAATTATGGCATAGGAATACTAATTTTCTTCTACTTAAATTCATAAAGTAAGAGAAAACTTAGGCTACAGACTCAGCATTAGATAAGATCTCATTTTATTTCTTCTATTATCTAAGCTAAAATTCTCAATTAAAGGAAAAAAATCCCTGTCACTTGCTTTTGCCTGAACACTTCTAGTGATCTGTTTATAGGTTTAGTCAGCACCACAGGGAGCCGGAGATCAAGTAGTCCTGGAGACTTAGACTAGAAGTGAGAGCAATTAACAGAAGTGTCCTACCTTAAGGGGCATTTCATAACTGTAGTTAATAGAAAGTGGCTGCTTCAGAAAGGATCAAAGCATAAAAGAAGAGGGCTTTACTGAAATTGTGTCAAGTTTATCTTGGTACATTGATCCTTGGGATCAAAATGTTCTAAAGAGGACATTATCTAACCTATCATGTAAAGAAATGTTATTTTTCATTGAACTTAGAAATACAGGAGCATGACTAAGAAACTTTCAGTTTTTACCCAGTAGGACCCAGGGAGAGACATGCTGTTAGATATCAGGTTGTCATCACTGGAAAGACAGAATCAGAGACACCAGGCTTTTCCATAGTAGATGATAACTGTCAAAAACATCCAATTCTCTTTGATCAATAGTTCTGATTACTAATTTGACTTCCCAGATATATTGATATTAGAAAGGAAGTATCCTAGATAGTAGATATGAAGACTCACTGAAATGATACATTCCTTTGTTAAATTCACAAACTGGCATCAGGGCTTATCTTTTCTTGTGAATTTGGTTAGCAAAAGTCATTTCTTGATTGGCCGATCAATTCTAGGTAAACTTATCAAACAGTTTTTAGATCTAGGAGTTCAGAATTGACTCTGGACTTTGGTAACCATCCCAAGATATTGCCAGCGAGCTTTCTTTGATGACATTTATTTCATTCTAAGTTTAAAACTGGCTGCTGTTTTGTTAAAAAGTTTATATTACATTGAATTGATCTCTTCTTCCTTAGACTAGTCTGAATAATAACAGTTATGTTTTTTTGAATTACATGGATAAAGTTTAATCTTCTATTTTAGTATTTGGTCAGTCTGGCTAATGGTTTGTCAGTTTTGTTGATCTTTAAAACAACTTTTGGCTTTTTTTTCTAGTCTCTATTTTATTGATTTCTGCTCTAATCTTTATTATTTCCTTCTGATTGCTTTGAGTTTAATTTGCTCTTCTTTTCCAGTGTCTTAAGGTAGAAGATTAAGTTATTGCTATGAGAACATTCATTTCTTTTATTGCAGGCATTAAATTTCCCCTTAAGATGGCTGCATCCCTATAAGTGTTTGTATGTTGTGTATTCATTTCCATATGTTCTGATTTTCCTGTGATTTCTTTGACCATTGGTTATTCAGGAGAGTGTCATTTAATTTCCACCTATTTGTGCATCCTCTAAATTTTTTTTACTGTTTTTGATTTCTAATTTCACTTCATTATGGTCAGAGAACATATGACTTCAATCCTTTTTTTAAAAAAATATTTTAATTGTATTGTTATTATTTTTTAACTTTTTAGGTGAGGCAACCCTTGGTTGACCTCACAAATTGCAAGGACCTTGTCAACTTACAATCCCTTATTTTTTTACGCCTACAGCACCTGGTCTTCCTAGGGGGTCTCCCATCCAAATACTAACCAGGCCCGACTCTGCTTAGCTTCCGAGATCACACGGGATCAGGCTTGTTCAGGGTAGCATGGCCGTAGACCAAGCCTTTTAAATTTATTGTATTATGCCCTACCAACAGTGTTTCCCTAAACTCTTGCAAACACTGGTTGTTATCAACATTTTAGTTTGCTGAATTTATAGTTAAAAAATAATATTTCTTTATTTTGATCTGAATATCACTGTAATTATCTACTTTATGAATATTTGAAACAAAATACCTCTAAAAATCACCTAAACCTGGACCTTCGTTGTGAGGTAATTCTTTAATATTTTCTTAATTGGATATTGGCATATTTATGTCAACACCTCTTCTGAGGTCAGTCTAGGCAATATTTTTCCTAAGTTCATTAATATTTTAATTTTATTTGCATAATTTTACAAAATGCTTTTATAATTATTTCCATTTCCCCTCTATTTTTCTAAACAAGTAGTTTTTGGGTTTTAAAAAACCAACTATGTCCCTTGCCTTCCTCTTCCAAACTTCCACTCTTCCTCTTCCCTAACTGCTATCATCTTCAGGTAAATATTGGTCCACACACATCCTGCATCAAGATAAGCAAATATAGTCATAGCATATAACCTTCTCCACCATCTTCTAAATCTCACTATGTCCTCTCTTTTACAAACTAGGTTCTTCCTTCCCCTCCCTCTTTTTAAAAAGTAATAAAATATGTATAAACAGTACTACATGACCATTAAATACAAGGCAGACCAGTAGGCGCAGTGAAAGTTACACATGCAGTGAAATACACATCCTTGATCCTGTTTTAGAAAGAAATGGTTACCAAAAATATCGACTTCCCTTAAGAAGGCTTGAGAGCCTAACTCTAAAATTGTAGTCGCCTCGGCCCTTCTATCGATGCCTCACCACAGAGAGGTATAGCTCACTGCTGACGCAGCGAATGATGTATCTACTGTTATGTTTTATTGTGGTCATAGCTAAGTAAATTTCATCTGAATCAGCCTTTTTCCAAGGAGGTCTGTTTGAAGACTGCCTTACCTTACGGACATGACAGGAAAAGAGGACGTTCATGTATTTGTCCTTCCGTTTCAGTTCATTGGCAACGGGCACAAAAGTGCCTGAGGTCTGAGGTGTCTCTGGCTTCTGAGAGAAAAAGGAAAGGTGACAGAATGAGTATGCTTAGCATTTTAGATGAAAAGGTGATCTTTTAGTATACTGTTTTATTACTATGCTCATGTAATTTCATACATGTACTTTTTATCTCCCCATCCCAGATGATAGGCCACTAGATATTTGTCTTAACACCAGAGGTCCTATAAAACTTTTAAGATAAGGAGTGAGAGAGAGAATGAAATACAGCTTTTGGAATAATTGATATAAAGGTGGTAGTTAAAAATAGTTGAATTATGCAAGAGCAGGTTTAAATGGTCAAAGCTAGGTTATAGAGTATACATAATACATATAGATAGGAGACAGAGAACTCTTTTTAAAATGGGGTAAACATCAAATTTGTACACTTAGAAGCAATAAAAACTTTTAGTTTAGCATCTCTCATAGAAATTTAGTTTCTGAAAGTGTCAGTCTTTCTATAAATTCTTGGGGAAAAATTCTTCTCTTTTTTTGTTAAGGGAGCAGGATTCCGCTTTCTTTTCCTGGACTTACCGAAGCAAGATAGTTGCCCTCCCAGGCCCTTTGGAGCCCAAGGTCAGCCCTGTGACCCTTCAACATTTCCATGGCCGCAACCTTTGCCCTGACCTGGGGCAGATCTGAAGCGGGAATGCTCTTGATGAGCTGAGATGCTCTCCATCTATAAGTAAATAAACAAAATGTACTGGACTTCAGAAACACAATATCATTCATTCTCAAAAACAACTGAAGCTGCCATTAAGTAGAATTAAACCAAACTATTTGCATGCTACTCTAAAAAAAGTACACAGAACTTATTAAAATACACATAGTTTTATGTGGACAGATATTTGTAAAACCTGCTTTGTTGTTTGTGTGTTTTGAAAGCAACTAGAATTTAGTGATATGTAGACTCTCATAATACATATCGTTAGGGCACAGCAACTTAGGATTCATCATTCATTCACTCATTCAACACGTTTTCTAGGCAAGTACTAGATTCCAGGTGCTGTTCTAGGCAGGGGAAGCACAACAGTAAACAAACAGATGATGGTCCTTTCTGCTAGGTGCTTATATTCTAGAGAGCAGACATAGACAATAAACTAGGCATTGAGTAAACATACAGTAAGTATGAGGTCATAAGTGCTATAGAAGAAAGTTAAGGAAAGAAGTAGCAGAGGGAAAGAACAGGGAGCAGGTGTTATTTATATGCACCACTGATAAGGATATATGAACAGAGACCTACAGGAAGTGTAGGAGTGAGTTGTACAGGTATTTGAGTAAGAGTGTTCCAGAAAGAGAAAATGGCAAGTGCAAAGGTTCTAAGGTGTGAGCTTGCTTGGTGTGTTAAAATACCAGCTGTGATGCTGGAGCAGAATGGAAGAGAGTCACAGGAGGGGAGGTCAGAGGAAGCTAGGACCAGCATCTACAGAGCCATGGAGGTCATTATCAGGACTTTGGCCTTTACTCTGAATGAGAGGAGAAGCCATTGGAAGGTTTTGAACAAAGAAGGGATATGACCTGACTCCCACTTTACAGGATCATTCTGATTGCTGTAGGAAGAAAGGCTGAAGGGGGGTTGGGCTGGGAACAGGATGACCCATTATGAGGCTACTTCCATAATGCACATGGTAAAAGATGGTGGCTTAGATCCAGGCGGTCAGGATGGAGGTAGACATAGGTGTTGGTTCTGGATATATTCTGAAGGAAGCACCAGTAAGACTTGCTGATGGATTAGATGTGAGAGCAAGAGAACTAAAGAGGATTTAAACATGACTTCAAGGTTTTTTGGTTTAAGTAACTAAAAGCATATACTAAAAATAATCTATTCCTGATTGAGAAAAACAAGTACAAGGTCTTTTACACTCTTAGCAGCATCCTAGTCCTACGTGATACTCATGCCCTCTTTTCTGCCACAGGAACTTGAAGCAGGGCAGTTAGAAGCAAACTGAGAACTACCTTTTATCAGATGAAATCAAGATCAGTGGTTCTCGACTTATGCTTCCATGGAACGCTAGAAGGAGATTCAATTAAAAATCTTTTCCCACTTTACATACATAAAATGTTAGAGAGATTGATTTCATCTAGAATTTTCCCGAGATGTATTCTTGTTTCAAGATTGTAGCTCGAGCACCAAGTTTCATGTTCAGTGGGGAGAGGTCCTTGCTCTGCCTGTTGGTCTTTTTCACCCTGGACAGTGGCCCAAGACAGGGTCCATACCTGACTGACTCCAAAGGCATCCTGGGGAATTTGGGATCTGACTTAAAAAACCATAGAGAGAGCCACATAGAGGCTTTTCATCCCATCGAGCCAACTGCCATCAATAAATATGTATAGCTGACAATAGCTGTAGCCATAGAAATCACCAGCCTCAACAACATGAAAAAGGGAAAATAGCTGGGCACAAACAAGACCCCCAGCCTTCCTAGAATGAAAAAGAATTACGGTGAGGAATAGGAGCGAGCTTAAACATGGTTAGACACACACTGAGATCTTAGGAAAGAACCAAAACCCCACAATCACCGTGCAATACTTTAACATACTTCTCTTAGTATTCCACAGATGAACAAATTCGAGAATTAAATAGGATATAGGGACAGACCAGGGGTTGGTAAATGATAGCCTGTGCTCATGGCCTGGCTCTGGACTGTTCTCAAGCTCAGAATAGTTTTTACACGTTTAAAAAAAACAGGACAAAACAAAATAAAATACGTGACAAAGACCACATGTAGCCCACAAAGCCTAAAATATTTACTATATGGCCTTTTACAGAAAAAGTTTGCCTTTGGACTAGATTAATATAACTGGCAAGATCAATCCTCTGTGTGTGTGTGCGTGTACGGTCAACAAGCATAGCAGACACATTATTTTCAAAATGCTCACTGACTATATAAGCTCTGTCTGTCTTTTGCATCTTCCTTATTTGTCACCATATTTCTGGAACCTCGGTCAATGTCTGTGGCATAGCAGGTGTTGAGTTAATATTTGGTGAATGCATAAATTTTACAAGAATTAATTCTAGGCCATATATAAAATGTCAAAATGTAAAAAGAAGGCTGTATAGGCCATAGTGTAACATAATCAAAATCAATTAATTTTTTGCAGCCATTAAAATATTACACAGATCTTTATTGTCTTGGACAGGTTTTCAAGATTAAGTCAAGTCATATAACCATACATACAAACCTGCTCAAATAAAAAAAGAGAGGGAAAAAAAGCCCAAATGATACGTGACTCTATGTACACACACTCATAGTAAGAGCAAACATTTCCAAAATGCTTATTATGTGTCAGGCACTAACGGAAATGCTTTATTTATATTTAGTTATAATCTTTTCAACAACCCTATAAGCAGGTACTATTATTATGGCCCTTTTACAGATAAAGAAAGTGAGGCACAGAGAGGTCAATTAATTTACCCAAGTTACATAGCTAGCTGGCGGCAGAGCTCGAATACGAACCTAGACTCCAAGGTTTCTGTTCTTAACCATTGTATCACGCTGTCTCTTATGTGTGAGTGTTTGTAAACACTTAGACAAGGATTTAGAAGGAAACAAACTGATTGTTAATGAGTGGTTATCTCAGAGGAAAGAAATAAAATGGGGAGACACAAGAGGTGTAAGGATTTCAACTTTATATCTTATACATTTTTATGTAATTTCACTTTTTAAAAAAGTGAGCATGTATTCGCCTATCACTTAATTACTTTTTGGATTATGTCAAAAACGCAGGTTACAGAGAATACAATTCATGAAAAAAAATCTGTGCATTAAAAAGACTGACAAGATTTAAAACTAACATTTATAGTTTTATATCTGGGAATTTAAGTACTTTTGCTTTCAGTAATTCTGTACTGCTTGATTTTTTCTTTTTATAAGTACTCATCTCTTTTTTTTTAAAAAAGCAAATGAGATATGAATTAAAGTGTTTTTCTCCCGTGCATTTTTTTCTCTCTTTTGATATCTGCCACCAATTTACATTCACTATCTCAATGATTTCATAGTGTTCTTTGTGGAACACTATGACACCAAATGAGCACATTTAAGGACTGTTAGCTTAGTTTATGTGACTAGATAGCTGCATCTAAGACACAGCTGAATATATCTGGTGCACACCAGCAACAAATAAGCTCAAAGAATGAGAAAAGAGGTACGAATAACTACAAACTCAGATTCGCGGCAGTTTAAAAAAATGAAGATCAGTTGGAAAGGTATCAGATTTTACAGGGGTGTTTATTGTATGTATGTTTGTTTGAATGTATGTATGTATGTATGTATGTATGTATGTATGTATGTATGTATGTATGACATTTACTTTAAAAAATAGCTTGCTCTAAAAATGTTGTTTTCTCCCTTGTATGTATGTATGTATGTATGTATGTATGACATTTACTTTAAAAAATAGCTTGCTCTAAAAATGTTATTTTCTCCCTTGTATTTTAAAATCACCTGTGAAACTTTAAAAAGGACCTCTGCTTGGGCCCCACTCCCCAGCTCTATTAAACAGGACAGTCTGGAGGTGGGACTTGGGCAGCGGTTATTCATTATAAACTCCCTGTGAATCTACAGTGCAGCAGGGTAGAAAATCACTGCTCTGAAGAGATTAGCAGATTTTCTAGTTTGAGTTATATGTTAATAAATTTTTTTTTTTTTTTTTTTTTTGCTACTAAAAGAAAGTAGAGTCTGCATGCCAATAGCTTATTTAAATATGATTTGATCCAGGGATTGGGGCATACTGCTGTCTTTTGCTACAGGAAAAAATAAATGGACAGTTCCATTATTTTGAGAGGGCAAAGGATGATGCCCTTTGAAAGCAAAATCTACAAAACTGGAGACAAGGTAAAAACAAATGTTATGACAGCAAATAGCTAAGCTACTATCATGGTCTCAAATTTGAGACTTTATATATATCAAGTGTGTGGCCATAAATGGATGTAGTACATACTCACGAGTTCTTACCTATTAAAAATTGCTTGTAGGGCCTCCTCAAAACGGCGAAGAACTTTAGGAGGTGTTGGCCACTTCACATGCTTCCCGTAGTCTCTCATGGTCTTGACGCCATGGAAGCGTTTAGTCACCTCACGGATGTATGACTTCACTTTGTGGCGCCGGTAGTATCTGATAATTGTCAGAGCGGCCTTGGCCTTCTTGTATCGCATGCGGGCCAGGGCACCTCGCCACACCTTCACAAAAGAGGAAAGAAAAGGAAAACGTTGCTGGCTGCTTAGTAGTAGATAACTTTGAAATCACAGATGCTCCTCTACTTATAAGTTCAGCTGGGGAACTTGGATGTGTCAACAAAATCAGCCAGAGCATCAGCTGAAGCACGTCAATTCTGTATGCCACCAACAGATGGCACTAGGAGTCAGGTCGGTCATTTTGGTTCGGTCGTCTAGCCACTCATTATCTACACTCGGTGTGTGCTGAGTTTGAAACAGTCCTGTTTTACCTTTACAGTCATGAAAAGAAAGCCAAAATACAAATATTTTTGGATGAATATTTTAAGAATGATAAAAGGAAATAAGATGAATCAGAACCAAAAGCCATCAACATCTATAGTGCTCTAATGAATGTAGCTTTACACAGATTGTATACATTGGTAACTAGTGTAGTGTCACATTGGATTCACAAACTAATTTACACACAGCCTGTGCCACCTCTCTTCGGAGTTCTAGGTAAACTCCCAAGAATTTAGATGCATTCCTGGGG